CTCATTCAAATGGTTTCCAATTTTAACAAAATTTATAAAAAAAAAAGTTGACTGTGAGGACTTATCTCAATTAGAATCTACCATCTGGCTTTTATGATCATAAACGTTTTTGTTTTAAATTTCTGCAAGTTTCACCAATATATTTCAAGGAACAGCTGTTACAATTTATCTTATATATGCCTGTTTTAGAATTGTTGTTACGATGGTTATTTTTGGTTCTGATCATATCTATCATAGTTTTGAAAAAATCTGTTTGCTTCTTCTTCTATACTTACTTTCTTCAATGGTTTCCTGTTCTTCAACGTGACTCAATTCACTGGTCTCTAATTTTTCGTCTCCCAAAACGGTTTCTGAAATTGGTTCAATTTCTGTTGGTTGAAATATAGAAAATAAAAATGAAACCATCTTTACTCATGAACAATGCTTAATTTGTAGGTAATGCATCAAAAGAATCATATTAAAAGATTAAAAATCATATTAAATATTCATAATTTGTTTCAGTCATACAACTTAATCTTTTCAAATTAGTCACCTGGTAATAATTATTGTCAGGTGACTAATTGTCTTTTTGTTGAAACTTGACTAATGCATGGAATAATAATGCAACATAAAATGTACTTAGAACAAAATGTATTGAAACAAGAAAGTGTACACAATATTTACATATAGTCTTTTGTATATTCCTGGGAAGACCGTTCCTGGAGAATGTGTTGACTTAGTCGCAGTCGGGCAGAGTCTCTGGATTGAATCTCTTGATTTCTCCAATCTCTTCCCGGTACCAACCATATTTATATGGTCGGTACTCCACTATGCAAATTAGGTGGATCCTACCACAACACTTTTGATTAGTTTTTAAAGCATTTAAACTCTACAATAATTCTGATTATTTTTTTCATTTGTAAAAGCGTTTTATTTCTTTGTTTTGTGTAATTGGCAACATTAGTTTAAAGATAGAAACATATATTCTATGAATCCTGTTTGTAGTAATACTGTGAGATTACCCAACTTGTCTGTTAAAGAACTTTTAGTAATGACTGTTAGATGGCATTCAGTCAGTTATGTGCCATGTGTGACACATGCATAGGTAATCATGTATCTTTCGATACATGGCTGATGAGGTAGATTTTTTAGGTTGCCAATTCTTTGTGTGGTAAACCAGTTGCCATTCAAGGCTATAGAAGCCAGTCTGCCCTGCTATTTAGCCATAGCTGGAGGGAGAAGAGGATTCATACCTTTTCCAAGGGTATTAGCACATAAGTGAATGTAATGGATTCAACTGGAATTCAAACTATCCATTACTCCACCGTGCCTCCAAAGCAGTATGTAAGAAGAGGGTGTAAAGCTTCATCCTCTTGACCTACAAGATGCCTTAGGCATAAGATATCCTTTTCCCCTCTGGTAAACATATGTTTGGTTTGCAGGAGTCAAAAAGATAGACATAGGTGCCCCTACTTTTTTCTACCTATGACTGAGGATGCAGATAATGTATTCTTGATTCTGTTATCTGCTGCTGCAATTAGATCTCTTTCTGATTCACCCTGCATCATAGCCAGATGTGAGCACCAAAAATGCAGAACACAAAATAAAAAAAGCTGTTTTCTGTGCATCATATCCAGTCCACAAAACAGATCCCCACAATAAAAATAATACAATAGCCAATTATGAAGATTCCTGCTAGATTGGCTATTGTATTATGAAGATTCCTGCTAGAAAAAGAGATGACCCTGGTGACTACCAGATTTGCTTAAAAAAAGGCCCTTCATAACAACCAACACAGTTGTGGGCTGAAAGGCCACCTGATGATATGCAGGCATTCTGTCACTCTCACCGCTATAACTGCTTCTCTCACCACAACCATGACCTCACCAAAATGTCACTAATCTCTTCACACATGCAATGCAGCTGCCAGTCAGCTTTGATGCCACCAGGCTCCCAATGCCAACAACCATGATTTATAACACCTCGACATTGTCACCACTCTGCTCCAGGAATCCCTCTTCATTTTGTTGATACCACATTTGACCTGAATCTAACAGAAACATTCCACTTGAGCCACTCCAGACCTCCCTCATTGTCACCATCATGGCCCACATTCGATAAGAATCCAACAGGGACTTTTCACTCAATAAACATTCACTAGCTACACCTAATCCCTCATTGCCAATGCCATAATTTCGGCAACCAGCATCTAACCATGAATCAACCTACCACCATCACCTCGATTGATCAACACTCCAAATCACCTATCAGGCAGTTTGGCTTCAACATTTCAACATCAAATGACTGCAAGCCCATCAGCATCACAAATGACTGATTTCAACATTAAAGAAAGGTTTGTGTCAATGGCACGGGTAAAGAAATTGGATAGCAGCTTAGTTTGAGGAATCAAAGAGCCGAGTTCAAATTCCATTACATTCACATTTACGTGCTAATACCCTTGGGAAAGGTATGAATCCTCTTCTTCTCCCTCCTCCCAGCTATTGGTAAATAGCAGGACAGAATAGATTCTATAGCCTTGGATGGCAACTAGTCTACCACAGAAAAAAATGGCAACCTACTTCAGGAAAAAATCTGCCTTGTCAGTCATGTATTGAAAGATACAGGATTGCCTAAGCCTGTATCATGCATGGCACATAACTGACTGTGTCAAACCTCAACCAATGGCTAATCCACTCTGGACCTGTCCTCTAACCGCAACTGTGATCTCAGCCAAACAAACCAAGTCAACTCCTGACACTACTGACACCACCCTTACACTTGATCACTTTCCTCACAAACCACAAACCTAAAACAAGATATTAACAATTTGGGCCAATTTTCTAAAAACAATAAATATATCATGTATATTTGAGGAAGACACTGCTTGAAAATTTGTTATTTTTTCCTTTGCAACCAAACAGCTTCAACAGGGTGATAGTGGGTGGAGGTCTACCTGAAAAAATCAGCTTTATTAGCATTGATAACTGCAGGCTTTAGAACAATGTTTTGCAAACTTTTTTTTATCTCATGGCAAACATGAACCTATAAATTTTCACAGCTCACTTAAATTATGATGATCAAAAAATGAATATACTTATTATGATTTATTTAACACAAACAAATCAATTTACAATAAAAAGATAAAAATCTTATATTTATTTTTCTGTGTGTTATAATTTAACGCTTAATAAGATATCTGTACAGCAAATAAAAAGTAACAATGTCATGTAAATGGGTAAGTGTAGTCATTTAGTCTTCACACACTTAAAATAGTAGTAATTCTTTATACAATTACCTTGACTTTGTATTATTTCTGGCTCTCCAATATATTTAATTACCAAATTCAATTTCACCTGAAATAAATGATCTGTAGTGTTTATGAAAAAAATTAAATCACTCTCTCTCTCTCCCTTTCTTTTTTTCTCTCTCTCTCTCTCTCTCTCTATTTATATATACAGTTGTGGCATCCTAAATTTCCAGGAACCAGTTCTATAAAGGCAGGTAATATTTAGAAACCTATTCTGCTTATTTCCTTTTCAATCTGAGACTGGAAACTTTATAGTATCAAAAAATAATTCAACCATTTTGATAATTTAATAGAAAACAATTATTTATTAAGATATTTCCATATTGAAATTCTGTTCTCATCATATTTCTATTTAGAAGTATGTTGCTTTTTGACTCTAGTGTCATCAGGTGTGTTATGGTTTCATAGCCACATTCAAACTGAATCGCTGCAGTCACAAAGATCCAATGGAAGACCTATAAAATTTATGACTAGAAGATTTGCCAATTTTTAACTTCCAATTGGTAGGGGATGTGTGTCTATTAGATTTTCATGAGGCATGCATACGAGCTTTGGTAAAGTAAACAAATTAGACAGATTCAAATTACAGTGGACACATTATTGGAACATATTCTATTAATTAATCAGTTTCATATAAAATAAAACTTCTTTTTATTGAAAATTATTAATAAGTTATGATATCCTTACTGAATGGATACCAACTTAAAATAACATTTAATTTATGAATAAAGATAAAAATCACACAACATTTAAAACATATCAACTTATTATCTGTACAGTTTCAGCTTCTAAGCTTGTGTAGTCATTAACTTTAGATTCTTCAAGTAAGACACACTTAACTAAAGGTGAGCATTTTTCTGTTAAATATTTACATGTGTCTACTACTAGGTCTGCATGCCATGTATAAATAAGAGGATAATGTTTCAAGTAGTAAATCCAAATAGTAGTTGGAATAAAAGTGTAAGTTGTAGCAGTAACAGAAGTCATTAAGAAATTTTACTGTGTCTCGTCTATTTCATGTCATATGAAAGCTCTCTTCATAAGAAAAAACTGGACTAAAATAAAACAGCAATTTTTGTAAAACATTTACAAGTTTTGGGATATAAAAATTTTGGATTTACACTTTATCTGATTTCTTTCTTTTTTTCTTTCATTTTCCCAACCTGAATATTTTTACAAGGTCTTATTTTTAACCTTTCAACCTTTCACAGATTATTTGCCAGGGGCAAGTATATTTATAAAGTGGCAATTTTATGCTACATTTAGTACTATCACGAATCTGTGCAAAAAGTGAATCCTAAAGCAAGAAAATTTTAATTATTACATTCATCTGAGCATTCACCAATGATAAAATATTAACACAATTAGCCAATTCGCAAGCACTTGACAGTGAAACTTTTAAATCTACCCTGTCTCTACAAAATAGTTTAAAATTGCCTCTGAGATTGATTTGTTTTCTGCGGTTTATCAATACTTTGCAGGTTATTTGAAATCAGAAAATATTTTTAGATTGTAAGAATTTTTTTTTTTTTTTGAGATAATAATGGTTTAGTGACCCAAGTCTTGCTAATTAACTCATAGCTAGGGGAGAAGAGATGGATTCATACCTTTCCCAAGGGTATTTGCACATAAGTGAATATATCAAACCGAATTGAAATTGGCTCTCCCATTTACAATTCTGAGCTATTATCCATTACACCACCTGCACATCCAGCTTACAACACCTAGTATTCCCAAGTGGTCACCTATCTAGGTACTAAACAGGCTTGACATTGATTAACTTTAATGATCATACAGGAACCAGTGTTTCAATGTGCTGTCACTAAGTCTCCCTGCTGGGATGATTCATTAACTAAACAATGGAGATGATATCTGTCTTTTCAATTTCATCTCATCTTAATCACTAACAACAAATGCTAAACAAATTTCATATCCAAAAAGAATATTCTAGTTCAATCCAGTCTACCTCTTCCAAAAATGCAAGAATACAAATACCAATAAGAAATTCAGCTATTAGTTATTCAATTTAAAAATAGATTAATATTTTCTCCCACAATGAATTTACATATACATTTTTTAATCATTTCACCCTAAGCAAGGACCTAGATAGGTGACCATTTGGGAATACCAGGTGCAGCAAGTTTGGATGTGTGGGTGGTGTAATGAACAAAAACTCAGAATTGGAACTCAAAGAGCCAAGTTCCAATTCCACTTGGGTTCATTATATGCACTTATGCACAAATACTCCTAAGAATGGTATGAATCTATCTCTTCTCCCCAGCTATGGGTTAATTAGTATGACATATCAGTAAATCATTATTATCTCCAAAACATTCTTACAATCTAAAAATATGTTCTGGTTTCAAAATTCAGAATTTTCCTTTTCTTAACTAGTTGCCAAACAAGTCTCAAGAGCTCAGTCCACCCTACTATTTAAGCCAGGAAGAGATGAGATGGATTCATTTTTATGTCAAGGGTTTTTATGAGAAAGTGAACATAAAAGACTTTGATGGAATTTGAACTTGGCTCACAAAGTCCATACTGACATCAGTCACACTTTCCATTTTATTTCAAAGTATTGTGAGGCATGAATCTTTAAATATTAAATTATGGTCTGAATTTAAATCTCTGCCAAGATGTAATAATTAAACCTACAAAATGTAAATTATGACTTTTATGTAATATTACCATAATTTCCAAGACTCAAACTGGGACAGTTTTTAATTGTTTTGTATAACAAAATGCTTTCATGACCCAACATAACAAAAAGGAAAAAAATATGAAAATAATAAAATGAAATGCAAAAACAAAATTTATTAAATTTCTTGAGTGGAGTCAAATTCTTGAGAATTTGATTATTAATTCTTTCTGTTAATGGTGTGGTGATCAAACACCATAACAAAAAAATAAATGAGTGGGCATAATGATCGTTTTCTTCTATAAGAAGGTATATCTGTTAAGTTTATTTGCCACAATTAATGATGTTTTAGTGACCTTTGAATTATATAAAATATTTACTAAAGCAAGTTAATTGTATTAATTTGTTTGTTGCATATTAGCCAGTGTTTATGTTGTTTGGCTAAGCCATCAGCTTGGCCCATCGTCATGACAACACAACATCAGTTGTCGTCATTCTGTTTCTTGAGTGTGTGGATCTTGTAAAGAAGAAAGGTGTAAAAAATGACATGAGAAGATTGGCAGATATAAAGTATAGAAAAAAATGTTTTAGGTAGGATAATCAGTGTTTTCTTTAGATTGTATTAAGTTGTATATTGTAATAAACTTGTTATTCTACATTTTTGGTTTTTCTCCTTGTAAAAAATTTTTTAAAATTATGCTTGTAAGGGTGCTGAAATTCAGCTTGCCTGGGGCACAAGCCTGCTAGCACTTAAAATAGAACTGTACCAATCAATTAAACTATCTATCATTAAGAGATAAATTTAGGTCTTTTAAAAAACACTTATCACATTTTTGGAAGTTTACAAATGTTAAAACACACAAAACAAAATAGAATATAGAAAAATATTTTAAAGAAATAACATATGTATAAAAATATTTAGATTTATAATAAATTTTGAAAATTAATTGCCTTTAGAAAAATATGTAGTTGTCTAAATCTTGATCTGAAATTTTCACTTTATAATGTTTGATCTGTGGGAATTACTACCATTATGTCTACCAAGTTGCCTACTAGGTGATGCTGTCACAGGACAATAAACACTCTTACACTTTTTTTGCTCTGGAATATAGTAATGAAAACAGCCAGACTTCTCTTTGGTAGGGGACCTTTCTTCCCCCAGCAGATTGTCTTAATTTCAACCAGTCATGTGATGCATTATACACATACATTTTCTAGCAGCAAAAAATATAAATGTTTTTCTTACATTTTTCAACTATCTATGTACATTCATAAATATATATGTTCTCTTCTTAAATTGTTATTCTTCATGCAAAAATATACATGTAAAATTCCCTCTCTGTGTTGAAATTCATTTCTTTTGAAATTGCTGAATTCATTTACTTTGAAAGTTTTCAATCTCACCTGCAACAAGTTGTAATCTCTCCTACAAACTGGTGACTAACATCAACCTCATCCATTACAACGAAGTAGCCCATCTGCTACTGGTCTGTATGGTTAATATACATCACTGAATTAAATGCATTAACAGGAAGGAGATGATGGTGAAAAATAATTATATGAAATTTTTTTCATAATTAAGCTCCAGGCTTATTGCTGTATCTATATGGAGATTCTAAAACTATCATTATTATTATCAATCAGATTTGTTTCAACTTGAAGGCACATTGTAAATTAGGGTGATTTCTCATCTTCAGCATGGCTACTTATTTTCAAGCAAGTCCATCTGTTCAGACAAATTTCTGTTTTTTTTAACACCCACAGAACCAACCTGTGGTTTATATTGCAACTATGCTAAGAAAACCTAAGTATATGCCATACTAGGAGCAGACAGTTTTGAATTTAGAGTTGTTCTCCACTGGTTGCTAACCGTGGCTATAGAGTCCAGTCTGCCCTACTATTTAACTCATAGCTGAGGGGAGAATAGATGGATTCATACCTTTCCCAGTGATATTTGTGTGAAAGTGAATATAACAATCTTGACAGGAATTTGAACTCGTCTTGCCAATTTCTTGTTCACAGACCATTAGACCATCTGCACATCCACTTCTTTAATTTTCTGCCTGGGTTCAGTGTAGTGATGAGGATGACGAGCATATGTACACGCATGTTTATTGAAGGGTGGCATAGAAAAAAGGAAGAGGAGTAAGTATATTGAACTAAGGGAGTTAATGCTCCTTACTCGCAAGTTCCATATCAAGGGAGATTACTAGGTAATATAACATCTCCCTTATTGTAGATTAGTCAGTTAGTACTTTCAATTACAGTATATGAGGTTTATAGACTTCAGTTCAGCCTTTGTGATGATGTCATACCTGAAAAGAAAGATTTTGTTTTGTGAATGTTTCATAGATCTAGTCATAGTGCAGTGCTTGTCTGGGGATAAATCTATACAGAGTGTATATTATCCTAAATTGTTTGGAAGTGAAACTATTTTGTATCCTTGCAAGAGAAATCCATCACTGGAAAATTAATTTTAAATTACTCATCTGCAAACTTTTAAGTTCACTAGAAGATAAATCAACATAATTTACTTGCCATAGTATTTGACAAATCCTCAACAAAATTAACTAAAACCAATTTCTTACAATGGAGTATGATCAATTGCTTCATACCTGAGAAGTGAATACATATTTGTACATCTTAAAATGGCGAATGTAAGTATTTATCACATACTGAGAAATAACATGGACCTCATCAACTGTGAACAACTCTGAGCTGTATGGAGGCCTCTAAAAAATAAAAGACAAAAAAAAAAAATACAATAATTTATATGAAGAAATGCTTTAAAGTAGAAACTGATTTGAAAATAACATTTTAAAAAAATGGTGTATGAGAACATTGCTAAAATTTTTAATTCAAAATTAAAGCAGGTAAAATTCTTAATTCTTCATACATCAATGATTTATTAATTCTCTATACATCAGTGACTTATAAGTTATAAAATTTTCAATATGAAAATTATAAAAATAGCTAATTTTCAAGCAATATTTTTTCTATCAATTTTAATTTATTCAATTCAAAAATTACTTAAAAAATAACCTACAATCTATTGTTAAATGTAGCAGGGAGTGGCTTGATAATTTTAATGCCTCAAAAATGAAACTGTTCCCTTTTAATCATCTGAGAGAACCCTTTTTTCCTTTTATCAGCATGGCTGATGCTAACCTCCAGGTGAGTGACTCATTGCACCTTCTTAAGCTAATGTTTTCAGCTGACATGAAGTGCAAAGAGAATATTGAATCAATTGCTAAGTCTTCAGCTAAGAAATTTGGTTCACTATATCATACTAGATAATTTTTCTTGCCAGAATCTATCTTACATATTTATAAGTCTACTATTCATACTTGCTTTGTATATTGCTGCCATATCTGGCTTCTGCTATATATTTTGAGATTCTTGATAAAATCCAAAGAAGAATCTGCAAGGTTATTGGTCCTGACCTGGCATCTTGGCTTTCAGTCACTTTCCCACTGCCATAATGTGCCTTTTCTATAAATACTTTCATGGTAATTGTTCTGATGAACTTTCCTCTATGATAGCTAGACTTCATGAATTTAAGTGCAGTACTAGAGTGGTGGCAAGGTATCATTTTAAAATTGAAATGGTTAAATTTAATCATAAGTCCTATGCTAACAGTTTCTTCTATCACACTTTTCACTTGTGAAAATCTCTTCAGGCTTCTTGCTTCCTAGTCAACTTTAATTTTCAAAAATTTAAATGCAATGTCAATCTTCTGTTTTGTTCTTTTATTGCCCTCTCTCCTTAATAACAGTTTTTCACATATTCTTTAACATTCAGTAACCTCTTGCATCCTGGTGGCTTTATTGCCTTATTTGGGGTGAAATGAAAAAAAAAATATTTTCAATATAGAAGCCAGTGTTCATTTCTTTGTAATGTACAAGACATATCACACTGTTTTTGTTTATATCTAAGAGGATAGACCAGAAACACATTTATAGCATTGCACCTTGAACAATCATTGGGTTTTAGATGTCCCTTCTTGGGTGATTGCTGTGGTGTGAGCAAAAAACAAGGATGAGAAAATGTTGAAGGACTTCTTCTTTATTCATGCATTTCAATAATGATATAGGATGGCTTCAAGTAAATTTTGGAAAATGTTGAAAGTAAATAGTGTCAAATAGGTTTCTCTCCTTTTGGCACTCATTGGCAAAAA